GTCCAAGCCAATCTGGTCATTTTGAATGTTTTCACGGGGGTGATGGCCACTAGCCTTAGAGCAGAGGCGCCGACAAGGAGTCAGACTGCAATAAATGCTCAACTAAATAATACTAGAATACTAAAAAAGTGGTGTAATTTTAAGCTTGCATTATTAACCTGCAAAGTTCCTGGCAACCTGCAAAATTCCAACCTGCAAAATCCCCAACCTGCAAAATTCCAACCTGCAAAATCCGCAACCTGCAAAATTCCAACCTGCAACCTGCAACCTGCAACCTGCGTTTTGTACCTGCCGGTCTAATAAATGTGTATAAAAAATTACACTCAATAATTTCCATCTGCAAAACTCTTCAGGCTTCAATCCATATAGTTTATATAAACAAGAGATTTCTTCCACAAAATTATTTGTGCTGATTACCAGGGTTACCAGTATTTGTATTGATTAACCTCGAGGCTATATAATTGTGTATTATTTGGAAATTTTAGGTGTAAACCTGAATGGTCCAGTCAATCCGTTTGCTTGTTTACCAGATGAGGTTTGTAATTGAACTGCCACTGTGGGATGTCATCATTTTCATAAGACGGGAGATGGACGTTCCTAATTAGCCATAGCCGGCTATATACTTTTCTCTGGGTGGGAAATTCGAAATATTGCATTTATCACCACTGCTAGTATAGGCTAGTATCCACGGTCACAATGTCCAATTCTGTTTAAAACTAGGATAATGCTGTCCGTCTGTATAAAGAAAAACTTGCAATATTTGACAAGGAGTTCCTACTAAAACAGCAAAATAATGAAGACAATCTATTTCTAAACTCCACGGATTCTGCTGAACCTGCAGCGTTTGAATTGCTAACTGGTTATCTTTTTGACGGACAATACGTTTCTTCGCGAGGTTAGTTGACATTTTCTATTATTTTCAAGTATTGATGATATCATTATTGATGATATCAGGGTCAGGAAATCAGTAATGTCTATAATGTTTGCCTATTAATTTAAATTATGCAGGTGGTTTGCAGTTTGATATGAATCAGTTTGACATAAGTTTTACATTAGTCATTACATTAGCATTGCAGCTCTTATCAACTTTATATGTACAGTTGTTTTATTCACAGGTAAAAATGAGCCAGATTTTGTGGATGAAAATCGAAATGTCTTTCACAGAGGAAACGAAAATTCATCTAACGATTACCACCAACAAAATGTAAGTTTCTGAAATTACTGTCAGTGTTCTACTGACTACTGTTCTTAATATAAGACCGTTCTTGACGTATATACATGCCGTTAATCTTTGTAATCGGACAGAAACACATCACACATATGTGACATTGACGATCTCGTCGTTCAAATTAATTTATCATAGTCCATAGACGGCAAAACTTTTATGATCGGTCATAGCGTACAGTCTGTATGAAATACATAATATATTCGACGAAATGTACAAGAGTATTTTTTCCATGAATAACTTTTCTCAATAGCACTAGCATGGCCCTAGCTTATTATCTGATGCATAAATTTACGAGTAATTAAAATGCTAAATGTTGTACATTATTTTTATTGTGAAGGTATTAGCCAGATCGCAAGATTGTGATTCAGTGATTAAAGACGGACCGCGTGTAGATTCCACGGAAACCATTGAATGTAATACAATCAATAAAAATGACTTAAATATCGACTTGGACAATATATTTGAAACAGTTAGCAAAGAACATATGGGCGAGAGTGAAGAGGCGCCAAAGTTCATTGCGCAACCGCCAGTTCGGTATGCAGAAACAGAAGAAGACGAAGACGAAATCCCTGTTTTACCTACCTTTCGAAGAAGAACTTATTTTGGAAAAGATCTGATATTTGAAGATCCAATTGGAAGCGAACTGATTGGTGATGTTGAATTTGAAGTTGATTTTAACTATATTATAAACGATATTGAAAAGGAAATGGTCGACGAAGAACGAAGATTGCCGATAGCTCGTGTTCTCCCGATCTATAAAACACCTCCTGTTCTTGATGAACAGCCCTATGAAAAATCAATGACCACCAAAGGCAGTAGAGCCGTAGATTTGAATTTTATTGATGTGAAAACAGCAGGCGTTTATGAACAGGACAATCTTAGTCCAATCAATAGAAGAAAAAACATCGTTGTTGGTACGGCCACAATAGAGGCACAGATATCACATAAAGGAATGATCATCAACGAGGGACTGACAAGTTACAATGATGATATTTACACGAACTCCCATAAAGGAAATACTAAAAACTTTGATAATGTTAGTGGTACAGTAGATGATATTGTAGAACAAAAGAGACTACTTTTGCAGATTGAGCAAGAAGAAAGAAAAAAGCTCCGTGAAGGCCGACATAATGCAGGACAAATTAATTATGATAAAAGTTCGTATAGTATCAGACATGGAAAAGACACAAAAAGACAAATTAATTTAAATGATACCAATTATCATGCTGGAGTGCAAAGAAAAGATAACCGGTCCATTGTTGAAAAAGAAGGCGTTGCTGCTACATCATCAAATTCAGGTGAAGGTAGTTACATGAACGAAAAGGAAACAAACGTCACTGGAATTGTAAATTCAAATCAAAAGGATGGTTATAATAAGTCAAATAATGAAAACCATTATGAAGACGAAGAAGAAAAGAGAAGACTTTGTGAAGTTGAGGATAAGGAAAAACTGTTGCTTGAGAGAATAAAGTTTCTTGAGAAAAAACGACAACAGTTATATGAAAAAAAACGGCGCGAACGTGACTCGAAAAACGTTGGGCAAGAACACAAAGTGTATGTAAAGCAAGAAGATAAAGGAAATAACCAAGTTTCAGAAAAATCCAGAAAACATCAAGAACAAAATTCAACGAGCTCTACATCTCCTGATCCATGGTCAAGTAGCTCTAAACATGATCGCAAAGAAAACAACGAGGACGAGAAAAGAAGATTAGCCGAAGCGTTGGCAGCGAAGAGAAAGACTGAAGCGGAGTTAGAACAACAACGTGAAGAAGTGTTACGTGCAGCTGAGGAACGAAGATTGGAGGAAGAAGCGAAGCAACGAGAAGAACAAGAAGCAGCCAAAGAACGAAAACGAAATTTCCTGGAAAACCTTCGAAGATTAAAACAACGTGTTCTTACAGAGGAAGAGGAAAAATGTAAAGAATCTAAAAGTCAACCAAAACGCGAGCCAAGTAGAGCAGTTCACAACACAGGGAGGTTTAGTCCAGACCTTGATTCTCCCAACAAATCTTTGTCAGGATATACCAAGGGAAATGATATGTCAGCAGGGGTGGATTCTTCAAATGCAGTACAGAAGAATGTACTGCCACAAACTAGAAGCTCACAATATGAAGCAAATGTCGAGGATAAACACCAAGGCCAGAACGAAGACGATTCTTCAACTGTAAAACCTGAGGAGAATTTGAGAAATGAAGAAGACCAGAAAAAGGCTGATGAAATGCGTCGAGAGAATTTCAAATCAAATCGAGAATTATTCATGAAGAAAATACAAACAGAAGCTGAACAAAATGTTCAGGTTGGCAGGCGAGAAAACAACAAAAAGGTTCGACCGAAATCATTTTATGGTGGAATGTTTAACAAACCAATACATCAAATCATCGACGATTCACTGCTTGGTCAGAATGTGGACTCCACAAGCGTTGGAGATCTGGTAGATGAGGAGGCGTTAAAACAATTCCAGCGAGAACAAGAGTTGAAGAAAGAGCATGAAAAAGTAAACAAACTTCGTTCTAGTCTTGAGCGAGAATCAAGTTACACTGTAGAAAATGTCGAACAACTATTTTCTGAAACTGACATGGAGATTAAGAAGCAAGCTGGAAATGATTGGGATAATCTTAGAAGGAAAGAGGTGCGTTCAAAATTGCAAGTATATAATGATGAATTATTCTCCGGCAGCGGAGAAGAAAGTATAAGTATTTTCGTAATTGGTGAACAAGCGGTTTGCAAGGTTCTGCAATTTTGTTGTTTATATTACTACAACTTACGTCTATTACTACAACATGGTCTTGTAGCATGTACCGCTTATATCTTTTTATGGTAATTTTCTCATGCACTTTCTAACTTCTCGTTGCAGGCCACAGCATCATCTCATCCTCATCGTCGGTCTCTGGTGAACACCTTAACAACCGAGTGGGATTCATTCCTTGATATTTTGGAAGACGATAAAAGGTTTGTGATATTTCTTTAATCAAACGAAAAACGTGATGCCAAATTTTACAAAACATGTAAACAAGAGTTCTATGAATCTCTTCTAACTACTAATTTGTTGGTTTTCACTCTCAGCTTTAATTATATTACTGTGTTTCGTCGAACCCCTATGTTGGTTACTTCTAGCTGGACATTTCACCTTTGGAATCGTTTAAGATATGCGTATACATGATTTAAGTTACCCACCTGGCTGTACTGTTTCAGTTTGTGGTATGATCAGATCATTGATCATTGTAGGAACGATATTGGTCATCCATAGATTTAGTTATATTAATTCGGCTTCTCGCTAATCCCTGCTCACCGAATAAAAATTGATCAGTCATTGGTGTGTAATCTTTTATTTTTACATACAAATAACTCTACAAATAACAATTATAGTCCAATTTCAAATATGGCCATTGCTTCCAAAATTACAGGAAGCAAGCGCAAACAATGTCAAAACATCCTAACCCCTTTCCTCTCCTCTCCTTCCCCCTTTCCTCCCCCTTTCCTCCCCCTCCCCCTTTCCTCCCGTCCCCCTTCTTCCAGTCAACAAATGTAAATATGGGAAAATCCGATTCATATTAGTACTAAAATATCGTTATTCTTTGACTTGTAAAGGCGGGAATCAGAGACGATAAAGATGAGACAAGAAATCAGTGCACAGGTAGGACCATCTTATTTAGAGTCTAGTTTGCTTTCCTTTGTTCGGCCAACCTGTTGATGATTTGAAAAATTAGTTTATTGATTCTTTCTCATGTTGATTCACTAATGGAGTAGTATTGCGTAAAGTTGTGTGATTAACTTGAATTACAACCAATGATTTAATCAGAGCTATGATGTGGTTTTTATATAAGCATCCCATTTGAGGTTTTTTCTTCAATTATATTTTTGTAACGTTTTCAAACATTAGAGAAAATGTAGCCCCGCTCGAGCTTCAGTTACCACACGAGCTTCAGTGACGACTCCTGTCGATGTTGTGAAGAGTGATATTTCTAAAGAAATTTTGGAAGAAAAAGAAATATTTGCCAAACAAAATGGAAAAGTTAAAAAGCTGGTCACATCATACAAGCGTTTGTCTGTACCGTGTTTTCTCAACCAAGATGATACATGGAATATTGAAAATTCAGTTAAGATATTTGTTTTCGCGTAGTTGACAGTTGTGACACTAACCGGCTTAAATTTCGAACTAACTACTAATTGGCTAATCTTTACTAACTCTTCAAATATCATCTTAGTGGTTAACCTGGAGCTTGACTTACAGCAGCTTAGCTTCTAGCTTTCTCAAGAATTTGCTTTTTTGTTTACATTTTTATTCGTTTATCCATTGCTTAAAATAAGAAGGCTCGATATGACGTTTACAACGGCTAAATTAATAGAAGTAGAAAATTTAGGAGATGGAGCGTGTTTAGTATAATGAATTAAAGTATAGTCGTTTCTTAATTATTTATTTTGTTTACGATTTAATCACTAACATAGCCACTTGTAGAGCAATAACGTAAGTTGTGTTGTACACGTGAATTAGTTTGGTGTTGAGCCTCTTGCGCTGTGCTGTGTTAATAACTTGCTTTGTATTGTTTAGTAATCCTTCTCGTATATTTTCTTTGACTTGTTTCATTGTTTTAAACATCGAACGTTTCATGTCCCGAGACTAATGTTAGGGGCGTAGGAAGCTTGATAAACTTATAGGGGCCCAAGAATCTCTAGATCAGAGTCTTCTCTACGTCTTTCGTTAGGCCCTTTCATTAATTCATTCTGATTATGATTTGTGAGTCTATACTATTTGTGAGTCAGATGGATTATTATTATTTATGGGGGTTGGGTGGGGGGCAAAAACTATTCCGCCTTCCCCTATCAAATATTGGGGGCTCGCGACTCCCCCGTCCCCCTGCTTCCTACGCCCCGAACGAAAACTATAACGGACTTTAGATCATTAACAATAGATTCGGCACATGAAAGGTTCAATGTTTGAAACGAATCTTTTGCCACAGCCTCACATACGCTTTAAAGTACTGCGACGTGCGAAGAGTTGTAAAAAAGCTTTCCACACGTTCGTAATACTTTGCATAATATCTATTTATTCATGCGCTTCATTTTATAGTGTTTCCGTTATTCATGACTATATTTTGGATATTAGTCAGAATCGTTTCATTAATCACTTACATGTTTTTGTAAAACTAGGAAGAAGATTCTAATACATTTGAAACAAATCTCCAAGCAAAAAATTCACCAAAATCGTACAGACAGGAACCTGACGATGTAAGTAAATGCTTAGACTTGCCCAAGTCGCTCGCTAGGGACCGCGCGTAGCAAGAAGGGAGCGCTTGAGAAAGACGGAAGCGAGCGACTTGTGTCACTTGCCTGATTTTGAATCTTACTGAAAAATTTGGCGCGAAAATCAATTATGACATAGTGGGCGT